ATTTTTAGATCAAATAATGAATCTAGTATCATCGGCCTCAATGAGATTCGATCCACGCTCTTTGTGATCTCAAGCAACTGCTCTAACCACAGGGCTACGGCGGACACAGAAACTTGGTCGAAATTAACCATTTTATGTCTGAACTTTTTACACGAATTTGTCAAAATTGTTAGATTGTTACTCCGGCCGAGGTCCGAACTATCGCTTGCCTGTTCGCCGACCGAGCACTTTATCCACTGTGCTATCGAGACGATGAGAATTCTCGGTTAATTTATCTATACATCACTACAACTAATAGAGTAAATGCAACGTCAAAATGAATGAAGGTACCTTGTACGGCGTTTAAACCCGCGGTGATATTACTCCAAGCCGTAGCGCTCTAACCACTGAGCCACAGAGACAGACAAGATTGGAAGTTAATTTGTCTATATAAAGACAGTCTTTATTAAATATTTAATAAAAACATTTTTACAGTGGGAATCGAACCCTTGAACCATATTGCAGTGTAGGGAATACCTATCGAACCTACTGAGCCACCGTGACTTACACGCTCCATGGTTTGATGAGTAAACTAATATCTTGTTCTTAGTAATCAGCAATGCAATATCGCTTTCTGTCTCGATATAGACTTTTAATTTTAACAATCATTCAGCCAAGTGCGATGGCTCAGCCGGTTAAAATGTTTCTTCATCGACGACCGATTATTGCGCTGCGAGTTCGAGTCCACACGAAGTCAAAGGTAAGTAAAACTTAATTTATTCTTATAAAATATTACCAATTCGCACACACACACACACACTAATAATAATACAGCAAACACCTAAAAAAAAAATACATACCAAAACGAAGAAAAATAACCTAACAAAATATAAAAAAATACAACAACCCAAATCCATCTACGTACAACCAGTTCAAAATAAATAAGCGGGTTTTGTACTTTTCATCCGTAAATTTTCTAAATTTAAATTTTTTGCCAAAAGTGCCATTTTTCCCCTATCAAATGTTGAATCTTCGATGATTTCCAAGTTAAATGATATTTCTCCTTAAACTCGCTGTATTTATCGTAACACTGCACGTAATGCACGTGCGTGTTATTGCGCGCCATTGTGAATATATATCACATGATGCAAATTCTCTACAACATCGTTGGCAGCATTCCCAATAGACTCTACCAAGTCTGTACTAGGAATTAAACTATTGTAAAATCATTGCGGTAGTTCAGTTGGTAGTGAGCTTTCTGAAGAATACAATATGGCGATCCGCGTTCAAATCCGACACTGTGCGTTCTACTTTTCTTTGGTTAATGGATTGCCATATATGATAAAGAAAACTTATTTTTACTAATTTGGGAGATGCTACCAGACAAGACCGAGTCATTTCGGTGATAAAAATGGCCGTACTAATGTTTCTGAATGTATAATAAATCAAAACAGTTTTGTAGCAAAATGTCGGCTTGAAGAGATTTGAACTCTTGACCTCTCACCTTTGACCTCGTATGTGCACGTGCAAACAACCAGACAATATCTATTCAACGATATGACGACCGGGGTTCGAACCCCACGTAGAGCGGGTCAAATGCCTTTCTATAAAAGATAAAGAAAACTTATTTTTACAATTTTGAGAGACTCTAACCGACGAGACTAAGCCATTTCTATAATAAAAAATGGCTGTACTAAAGTTTTTGTATGTATAATAAATCAAAATAGTTTTGAAGCAAAATGTCTGCTTGAAGAGATTTGAACTCTCGACCTCTCACCTCTGACCTCGTATGTGCACGTGCAAACAACCAGACAATATCTATTCAATGATATGACGACCCGGGTTCGAACCCCACGTAGAGCGGGTCAAATGCCTTTCTATAAAAGATAAAGAAAACTTATTTTTACAATTTGGAGAGACTCTACCCGTCAAGACTAAGCCATTTCGATAATAAAAAATGGCTGTACTAATGTTTCTGAATGTATAATAAATCAAAACAGTTTTATAGCAAAATGTCTGCTTGAAGAGATTTGAACTCTTGACCTCTCACCTTTGACCTCGTATAAGCACGTGCACACCACCAGACTAAATGTATTCAACGATATGACGACCCGGGTTCGAACCCCACATAGAGCGGTTCAAATGCCTTTCTATAAAAGATAAAAAAAACTTATTTTTACAATTTTGAGATACTCTACCCCACAAGACCGGGCCATTTCGGTGAACAAAATGGTTGTACTAATGTTTTTGAAAGTATTATAAATCAGAGGCTCCCCTGCCACATTGTTTTTTCAAAATAATTGGCCTATGAATGATTAATTTTATTTGGCCCTGAAGCCAATCCAAGACAAACAAACGTCTCTTCAGATGGCCACACATTAAGAAGGAAAAGAAAAAAAGAAGAAAGTTTAACATAAATATTTTTATTACATGTCTATATTAGCACCTGAACAAATTGACAATAATCTAACATGAGCACTTAAATTATTGGAATGCATTTGTAAACAAAGGCACATCTTAAAACAATGTCGAAATCTACGTATTACAAGTTATAGT